CCCCCCTTATGATGAATAAACTTTTGTATATCTTTCTTTCTCTCTACTCTCTACTTAGGTAGTATTCGGTGAAAACTCGTTTCCTCGAAAAAATGTCACGTGAGCCTGAAAACGCGTTGTAAGATGATGAGATGGTTTTCTTCACTTCACGTGATCGTCGGTCATTTCAGATTCAGCCGACTGACATCGAATTCGTCGTAAGGAGGGGTTCTACCAGTGGGAGTGGTGGTGTCATCGCTGATTCGAGAGCGACGACAACAAAACGTTGTTTGTGTGTGGTTGAGAGAGCCCACTGAACCGGTTCACTGTGTTTCGACCTTCTACCCTGTGCCACCATCACCATGGTACTGGACACTATACGTAAACGATTCTCATTATGGGTATTCAAAACAAGTAAGTTCATTTCAATATTAGCCTAAAATTTCTAAAATTCTTGGCCTTCCCATAGTACCCGTAGAAGTCCAACGTTTAATTGATCATCCCTCGGGATTTCGGGCGACAAAGGGGAGGGTTAAGCTTGCGCCACAGAATTCTTGGAGGGGTACCTGGAATCAGGCGCTTGAGTAAAGTGGTACCGTAGTCGCGAAAAAATGTTATTGAATGGTGTTTCATGGATCCTAAGAACATCTGTTTTTTTTTGTGCCTCGGTCGTTATATGTACCCTTTGTGCTTATCCCCTTTCCCGAACCCTCCGTTTAATAGCTTTTCCGGAGATTGAGTAGGTGTACGTATTCTATTTTGGAGTAGACTTCAGAAAAACCTTGGTCATAGCCTATTCACGCAAACCTACAAAGAACACCCATGTCTAATCAACCAGAAAAAAGAATTAATACACTACGCATCACCGAAAAACCTCTGATGCCCTGAGACCTTTGTGGATAGTTGGAATGGTTTCCATCAAGGGAACACCAATGACTCCAAGCCTTCAACTCTTTTGCCCATTCAACAATTTTCATAGAGATTATAAGGAATAATGGAAAACTATTTATACTATGATGTTTCACAATGAAACTACATACTACTTATACTTTTTGAAGATGAACGCTATCATCCTCGTGAAGAGGAGCGACTCCACAGGGAACGCATTGCTGAACGTGCACGCGAGAAGGAACGATCGCGTACCGTCGCTGCGTCGTCGCGTCCGCCTGCCAACAAGAAGCCCTCTCAACAGCATCCTCCACTTTATGTAAGTTTCCTTTCTTGAATACAGTGTAAGCCCCTTTCCCCTAAAAGAGTCTGGTTCAACCTACCGGGGTGACAAAAAGAATGGTTGGTTTAGGCGAGTATCAATCCAGGATCGGATCCCAGGTTCACTCGCCTGAATGAAATGCAGTGTGATCCAACTAATTTACAACAGCAGAAATACCAAAAGATAAGGCTGCCTCTAGTGAAGCTTTTAATAATTAATGAATAACGAAGGTTCGCGATTTTGACGACGAGGGGGTACCTGGACGAGTTTCCGGACTGTACGAAGTGACGTGTAGTTGTTAGAGNGAGGGCATTTACAACAAATGCGCTTCATTTCGATTGATATCAACCTTCACATGGCTGCTCAACTCGTCCTTCCTCAACTGTAGAGCGACAGTGGGATAGAGACCGGTTCTGGATCTTATTTTGCCCTATCTAAGCCGCTTTTCGACCTCACAATGCCCCGAAATTGGTCTCTTTTCTAATCTCATCCAACCCGCTTCCAATACCATAGTGAGGGATAATCTGGAAAAAGCTGGTCATTCCCCCGACGAACTCAATCATCTTAAATCAACTTAAGCCATAGCGACCTTCCCGCTCCGGTTTCCCATAGTTCACGTTTACCTGCATCGTTTGGAGGGTGATTCAAAGTCCGTACAACACAAAGCATGGAGAAGTGCAATACTTGAACCCAGAAAATTATTAGTAGCCGGATTCATGCATTTATTTCACTCGTGGCGGATGAAGAGTAGAGTTAAATAGTCCCGACAGCTCATCTACCGTATGGCATGCCATCAAATTCTGGTCCGATCGACATCCGCAGTAGCTGAACAAGCTTTCCAACCTACCGGAGTCGATTATTTGGTTAAGGACTTTCATTCAAGAAGACAAAGGCACTGATCTGAATCTGTCTGTTGA